CATGGTGCAATGAGTAAGAAAGATGTTGTGGTGGAGCTATTGTTGCTCTCTCATAAGCTTAGCTTGAAGGACCCTTTGAATCATTAACATTTCTTCCTCTTTAGCTGCAATTATCAAGTTGATACTACTCCCTTACATCTTCATTCTGTCTTGTGTTATTGTTCATTTATTCAATGGTTCTTTGGTCAGTGAAAGAGATCAACTTTTTATTTGGGCAATCAGACACAATGTGCCTAAAATCATGGTTTTTAAAGTACTTTTTGACTGGGATAGATTTGAGAATGCTAGTGGTCTCCATCTTTTCTCCGCTATGAATTATTTTCTTCTTAAGATGGGTCATTTTGGGTGCTGTAATGGGTGTGATCTTGTTGTTTGATCTCGGGGTTGAATTTTGTCTATAAACTGTGGTGATCATTTGGTGATGTTGCTTCTCCACTTTCAAAGTTAGGGTATGTATATCGCGTAGGGACCAATACGACTGCATCTACACGACACTATTTATTTATGACCTCAATACTCAAATGCCTCACCACTGTCTGCTCCTTGGATTCCATCAACTCCAATTTTTGCAAGAGCTGATGATTGATTTTGTTGTATGCTCCTCCACAGAAGAATCCCTTAAGCACAAATTGTAGAGTTTTATGAATGTATCCTATAGGTAATGCAGGAGAAGATATTTGCGTTGTATTTCTCTTTTCATCTTAGACCATGCGATGTTCTTACTCTTCTCTTTTTACATTAGATTCCCCAACCACAAAAAAATATTCTTCTTTAATTTAATAGCCGCTAGTTTATCAGGTGGAAAATTCTTGTCTTCAATGTTTTGTTCAACTATTGGGAGCCACTCGTATACGATTGTCAAAATCCAGAAAGTCAATCATCACTTTAAAATTTTCTTTTATCTTTTGATTTTGCATGCCGAATCTTTGGTGTATTAGTTCTTCATCATTGGTAAATTGATCAGAGCACCTTACCTTCGGGTGCTCCAGTATTATTTGTGAAGAGGAAGGATGAGAGCTTCAGGATGTGTATTGACTATAGGGAGTTGAATAAACTCACAGTTTAAAACAAATATCTACTCTCGGGGATTGACAACTTGCTTGATCATTGTGAGGAGGCTTTTTAGAAGACTTGCTTAATATTTGCTTCAGTTTTGACCTTTTTTCAGGTCCAGATGATCTTTCAGATTTTCAGCAATGTATCTTTGAGGGATTTAGACTGTGTACTTATGCAACATGATAGAGTCATTGCATATGCATCATGACAATTGAAATTTCATGAAAGGAACTACCCCACATATGATTTGGAGCTTGTTGTAGTTGTATTTATACTTAATATATGGAGACATTATCAATACAGAGTTAGATGTGAAGTTTTTACTGATTGTTAGAGTTTGAAAAGTATATCCTTACTCGGAGTGAATTGAACCTGAGGCAAAGGAGATAACTGAAATTTATTAAAGATTATGATTCAGATATTCAGTATCATCTAGGGAAGGTGAATGTGGTTGCAGATGAGTGAAGTAGGAAAGCTTCAGGTAGTTTGACTTATTTATTTTCTCAGCAGGAGCAGTTACTTGAAGTATTAAAGAAGTTGAAGCTATATATAGTTGATTGTGGTGATGATAGTATGGTTTAACCATATTAGTTGACGGTGCAATCAACCTTGAAGGGCAGAATTGAAGATTCTTTAGCCAAAGATAGGTGTTCATAAAATCCTGAAATAGGTTAACAGGTTGTTTTGAGAGGTATTCGCTAGATCGGGGTGGTTTACTGGTTATACTGTTCACCCAGGGAGCAATACTATTTATTTCTAGATATTGGTCTAAGGAAA